CTTGCACAACCTACTCAGGTGTGCGAGCAACGGGAGTCTAGGTGCCTCCCCCAGCCTGGGAAGTAGCTGCGGCCGTAGTAGCTGAGACCACCTGAGCCAAACCGGTACACACTGATAAGATCTAAGCTAAAGCCTCCTGAAGACCTGGGATCACAATAACCACAGCTGGTGTCTGGGCTGGTGCTGCTGCATCGTCCATAACTGGGACCTGATCCGGAACTGGGGCAGCTGGTGGATCTACCGGTGCTGCTCTAGCTGCTCTGCCCCTGCCACGACCTCGGCCTTTGGTGGCCCCAGCGGGTGGTACTGGCAGTTGTCCGTCCTATCCGGTAGCACGTGTCCTCACCATTTGTGAGAGAATGGAATAACAAAAGTTTAGTACTCGGATCAACAAATTCGCACGACAAGAATTTCAAGGATATGAAGTTTTTCCTAAAGGTTCTGTAGCCTCTCGAGGATAAATACATACGTCTCTGTACCGATCCGTGAGACTCTACTAAACTAGCTCATGACTCGCGAGACCTATGCAACCTAGGCTCTATATACCAACTTGTCACGACCCCAAATACCGGTCGTGATGGCACCTATCGCATTACTAGGCAAGCCAACCAATCAACTAACCACAACCCATTTCCTTTAGTAATGAACCATTTTCAACACAGGTTTTAAATACTGATTTTATAATAAACGTTTAAGACGACAGAAAATATGCGGAAATCAAAATATCGAAACAACTACACAGCCCCAACATGATCCGGTGTCACGAGTCTAGAGCCTCTAATACAAGTCTGAATACCTAATACATCAATAGTCTAGGAAATGCGGAAAAATAATAATATAGGAGGGAGAGAACAGGGTTGCGGACGCCATGCAGCTACCTCGAAGTCTCCGTCAAATACTGAAACAGCTGAAAGCCCTCACTTGGCAGCTCGGGCACCTGGATCTGCACACAAGGTGTAGGGAGTAACGTGAGTACGCCAACTCAATAAGTAACTAAAGTAAATAAGGGCTGAAAGCAGTGACGATCAGTTCAAAATACAATAACAGAATAATCAATAGAATTACGGTCACCTTGACAGTTTAAAAATCAGTTTCTGTCATAAAATCAACATTTTCAGTTTAAAACATTTGAAATTAGATGCTTAACAATATATCCAACAGAGGCTTATTCAAAAGAAGAGTGAAATCAGTGAAAACATCATAACAGGGCCCCTCGGGCAAGGAATCACTCAGAATATAGCCCCTCGGGTAGCCTCTCAGTCACTCGTGACTCAACTCTCATCACTCAGTACTCACTCTCAGCACTCGGCTCATTTACATCTCATAATAATAAAAATCATAGTAACCGTTGTGGCGTGCAGCCCGATCCTTATATTTATAGTCGACTACACTCACTGGGGGTATGCAGACTCCGGAGGGGCTCCTATAGCCAAAGCGTCATATCGCTGCGGCATGCAGCCCGATCTAATATATATATATATCGTTGCGGCGTGCAGCCCGATCCATATAAGTATCGTTGCGGCGTGCAGCCCGATCCATAATATGTACATATAATATCCTTACCATTAGGTTCTCAACCTCTCTCAATCATAGACCTCACAACCTCTCGAGCACATCAATAGAAATTAGGGGTCTCAGCCCAAACAGTCCTCACAATTAGGAGTAAAGTGATAAAACCAGTTTTAAATATTTAAACATGTAAAACACGATTGAGGATTTGCTTCTAGCAAGTAAAGTGAGAAAAATAGTCAAAATGCCCCTAAGGGTTTCTACAGGTCGGCACAAGGCCCCAAACATGGAATACAGCCCATAATATAGTATAAATGACTAAAATAAGGAATAATATAAGATTTCTAAATCAAATACGCGGTTTAATAGTTGCTACTGGACGGACCAAGTCACAATCCCTACCGGTGCACGCCCACACGCTCGTCACCTAGCATGTGCGTCACCAAATTTATCAAAACGAGTCAAATACTGGGGTTTTGTACCCTCAGTTCCATATTTATAATGGTTACTTACCTCAAATCGATGAAAATACTACTCCACGACGCCTTTGCCCCTTGAATCGGCCTCCACTCGCATTGAATCTATCCAAAATCAGAACGAGGACATCAAAATATGCCAAGGGAACGAAGCCCAAGCGAAAACAATCAATAAATGGCACAAATCCCGAAATTACCAAAATCCGACCCCCGGGCCCACGTCTTGAAATTCAGAAATTTTTATACCAATAGATTCCTCATCTTCCCCGAGTCTATACATATCGAGAACACATAAATTGGAGTCCAAATGACCCCTCAAATTCTCATTTAAAGGCCTCTTAAACTCAAGCCCTAATCCTCTATTTTTAGCCATTTAATCCCTTTAATTACAGCCTTAATCCATGAAATACTACCATAGAAATGTGGTTTAAATCCAAAATCCTTACCTTAACGAAGTTTTCTTGATTTCTCTCTTCAAAATCGCCCAAAGCTCCCAATTCTGAGTTTAAAAATGGTTAAACCCTTCAAAAATCGCGAAGGAAGAAATATATACATTCTGCCCAGTTCTTTTCGCATCTGCGGTTCCACAACCGCTTCTGCAGTACCGTATTTGTGGTCATTCATCCGCTTCTGCGGAAATCACCAGCAGCAGCAACAAAGTTTCTCCAATTTCATAAGTCTCAAACCTTCCCATTAACCCTCCGAAATCACCCCGAGGCCCTCGGACCTCAACCAAAAGCACAAACATATCCTAATACCTTATTCAAACTTGCTCCAATAATCAAATACCTCAAACAACATCAAATCACCCAAAACACATCGAATACAAGCCAAACTTTCCAAAATCTTCCAATTTTCGCTTTCTATCAAAAACCCAACCAAACCACGTCCGAATAACCTGAAATTTTGCAAACACATCCCAAATGACACGACGGAGCTACTACAACTCTCGGAATTCCATTTTGACCTCTATATCAAAATCTCGCCTACCAACCAAAAATCGCCAAAATATCAATTTCGCCAATTCAAGCCTAGATCTACCCCAAACCTCCAAAACTCATTCCGATCACACTCCTAAGTCATAAATCACCTCCCGAAGCTAACCGAACCATCGGAACTCACATCCGAGCCCTCTAACACATAAGTCAACATTCGATTGACTTTTCCAACTTAATTTTTCCTTAAAAGAGATTAAGTGTCTCAAACTTCACCAAAATCATTCCGGATTCAATCCGACCAACTCGATACCATAAAACACGGATAACGAAACATAAAGAAACATCAATAGGGAAAACGGAGTGATAACTCATGAGACGACTGGTCGGGTCGTCACAAGAACACCAAGAACATTGATTTCTAGAATGCCAATGTCTCATTTTTTTTTAAATGTGTTCTTTCCCGATTGGGTGTAAATTAAGTTTTTCTTTTCTTTTTGAGAATGTTATTTTTATTTTGGTTATTAAATAGATTTAACATAGTTTACCTTTTCTTACTAAAAATAATATATGTCCTTTTTTATTCGTCATTCGCCACGTCAGCAGCGAGTGCATCGCACAAACTTTGTAAGTTTGGTTGATTGTCAAAAAAGTGCTTAATTGGAATAAGTTTCGAATAGTATAAGTGCTCAATAGGAATACCCTTAAGTTGTGTCTAAATGAAAAATCGTGCCAACTTTAAGTGTCTCCGTATGTATTCAGCCTTGATAAAAATATGAGAAAGATAAAATCCAAGCAACGAAGGTCATAACTAACGGGACTTCACCAGAAAATGCTCCTGCCCCGCTGAGAACTGCTTCAGCCTTTCTCGCCCACCGCCTCCTCTTTATTCCTCAAATTTGGCGACTACAATCATCGACTCCTCCTCCGTCCGCCCCTAGTTTTTTTTCTCTCTCTCTCTCTCTCTTTTTTTGGGTTAAATCTTGAGTTTATATTTAAATTCTTTATGTATTTCTTTTTATTTGGTTGGCATTTATTTTCTTAATTGATTTATTTTGTCACCTCCAAAAAGAGTAATGCCCACACACTAGAGTTAGTTTGGGGCTATTACATTTGTATTCAATAGGCATAATTTTGTACCACATGAAATGTTCAATAGGTAAATGTCATAGTTAAGGTGTCTAAGTGAAAATTGTAAAAACTTCAAGTAGTTGTAACCAAAAAAAAAAAATACTACTTAAAGTGAACTAAATTGGAAAAACAAAATTATAGTCCCTTAGTTCCAATTTATGTGAATATGTTTGACTGGACACGAAATTTAAGAAAAAATGAAAGATTTTTGGAGTTTGTGGTCCTAAACAAATCAGAAAAGAGTACAGAGTATTTATGTAGTTATAAAAGTTTTTCATTAAGGATAGAATTGAAAGTTTAAGCTAAATTGTTTACAGATTTACACTCTGTTTGGATTATTGTTCCCCATTGTTTTATAATGTATTGTATCGTTATAAATACAATGTTTGGATAGATTGTATTGTTTGTTATTGTTAAATAATATTTTGCTGTTTGATTTGACAGTATCGTACTGTACTGTAACTGATAAGTTTACTAAAATACCCTCAATTATTTAAATATTAAATTTATAAAAAATTATGTATAAAAATAATTTTAAAAAATAAAGCAGAAGAAGGCAAATCACCTTAAGAAAGCAGAACAAATGAGCGAGACAGAAGTAGACAAAACAAAGGAGAACAACTAATTAGAATTGAGTTAAAACAAATTAGGAGAAAAAATAAAACACAATGTGGCAAAATATCTTTAACGTTGGCGGTAGATTTCTGGAAACAAACAAAATAGGTTATAGGTTGGAAATTTGGAGTTAAAATAGAAGAAAAGGTAAAGAGTAAAATAGAATTGTGGAGTAATAAGTTAGGGCATAATTGAAAAGAAAATTAGGAAACAATCCTACTACACCAAATCAGTTGTTTCAAAAAAGGACTTTTCATTGTTTCGAAACAATAAATTTAATAATACAATACAACCAATTTTAACGAAACAATCAAAATAAATATTGTTTCGGGATAATAATAATACAATACCATACGAGGAACAACTATCCAAACAAGATGTTAGAAATGGATCATTTTTTTTTTAGAACGGACCTAAATTCAAATAAACTGGAAAAGATGGTGGAGTACTCTGTTTCACGAATCCCCATATATCCTCAAAAAAATTTCATTCTCCGTATACCTAGAGATATGGGATTTACATCTCGGTTCAGTCGCAAGAGCAAGGTTTCGCCGAACAACGAAGACCCATCGCCGTCGGTGTCGTCGCCGATAAACTCTCCAGCCACGAGGAAAGAGCTAAACGAGAAAGAGCTAAAAAAAGTGTTCGAGAGGTTCGATGCGAATGGCGATGAGAAAATTTCAGCATCGGAAGTGAATTCCGCCCTGTCTAGCTTAGGAAACGGTCTTAAGACAGAAGAATTGGAGAAAATGTTCAGCAAAGTGGATTCCGACGGGGACGGGCTCATCAATTTTGATGCATTCCTCCATTGCTATAGAGTTTTGGAGGATATTGTGGATTCTTTCTCCTTGTTTGATGTGGACAAGAATGGTTTCATCACTGCTGATGAGTTTCAGAACCTGTTTATGACGGCTCTGGGGGAAGAATATTCGATTAAAGAGTGCCGGAAACTGATCAGCGCCGGTGATACTGACGGCGATGGTACGATCAGTTACGAGGAATTTAGGGTTATGATGGTTAGTTCCAGGTTTGGGGGTGGAAATGCGGGTCGGGGCAGGTCAAACCCTTAATGGCCCGGTACTCATTTGTAGTTTTCCCATCAATGCGTGGTTTCTTAGTGTCATAGGTCACGAGCTTACTTGGGCCTGACTTAAAAATCTTAGTCCAATCCTACAAAATCACTGGTTGAGTTAGGTCGGCCCATTGGGTCAAGTCCATATTAACGGCTGTGTTAATTAGTGAATGAATGTGTTTATATCATTAAATCTGTATTAATTAGTGAATGAATTTGTATATATCATTAAATCGTCATTGCAATGTATTTAACATATTGATGTGGTGGAGTTTATGCCGTAGGTTGACGTGAGATGCCAAAATGTTCAAATATATTGAAACTAATAAGAGCTAAGCTTATGATCAAATTAGTGAATTCAATTATAAGGAATATCATTGAACTTGAGATTATTTTTTTTTAGAATTTAGTCAAAATAGAATATTGTAGAATTAAAGATTAAGTGAATTAAAATTTTCAAATAAACAAAATAACAATGATTGTTTGCTTGGTTTTAATACACGATTCTATAGTTTAATTATGTACGAGATACACAAATATAGGAGTATTTGATTGTTTTTGTTTCAAAAATTTCATTAGGTAATGAAACTTTAGCTAGCCTAAGTTTTCTTCTTTTTTCAAATAAAAGAAACAGAAATTACCCTCCCCAGAGGGTCAATTAGTTGCTTGGCTCTTTATTTTTATACGTAAGAGATTTATCTTTTACACGTAAAAAATCTAAAAAAGTTATTTTCTTAAATTTAAAACTATAAAGGTGCATGATGTACAAATAACACCCCAAAAATTGCAGTATTTATCCATTGAGTTGCATTTTCGTTATGTATTTTTTTCTCATCCTTCTTTCTTTATCAAATTTGTCTTTCATTCTTCTTTTTCTTCACCTTTAATCTTTAATCTTCCTCTCAAGTTTCAATTCACTTAATACTTTATTCCAGAAAAGCCATGTACAATACTTCTCTATCCTCAATTATTTTTTCTTCTTTCCATTCTCCCTCTTTCCTACTGTGACATCCTCTATTATTTTTAAATTTTCTTCCTTTTTTCCTCCTTTCCTACGGTTACTCTTTCCTCGTTAAATTTAGTTGTTGTAGTTAATATGTAAACAATTTAAATATGAGAATAGAAAAGGACTAAAATTATTAAGCCTTTTTAGAGAAAAAAGGGAAAAATTCGCATAAAATGATTGAAACAGATAAATTGACATTCTGGTCTAAGAGAAATTCATTTCATATTAACCAGAATCATTTAAATTAATATATGTATACGTAAATAGATATTGACTGATAACTAAAACATATACAAATAAAATTCAGTACATCATACATCTAACTAAGCATTTAAGTGGAATTGATGAATGGACCATGCATTGTCTAGATTTCACATATAGTTAATATGTTTTTTTTGTTTGTTTTTGTGTTAAATAAAATGTAAAATAGATTTTTTGGCAATTAGTTAGGTAAGAATAAACACATCAGTATCACAATATAAAAGTATTGCGAATATTAATACTACAAATGAAATTAATAGCACGGAGGCAAAAAAAGAGCATCACAAGAAGTGCTCTCACATGTAATAAAAAAGGACAAAAACAGATTGAAAATGGCGAATTCATCGTCCGAACAAAATTATGAAAAATCAAGGGGCGTCCAATACAGATCTAAATAATATATAGTGAAACAAATAGCCTCAACTTTTGGTGATGGAGAGGAGAACACAAGAACAACTTAAAAACTGATTATGGCTTTTCAATTCTCCATTAATATACACAATAATTGATAATTAATATAGTAATTTATACATTTGAATTTCACTAGGCTGTTGTTGTTGTAATATAGTAACTTATATATAATGAATTCATATGGGAGTTATTTTGTGTAAAAGACCTTAAATAAGGATGGGGAATTTTTTTTTTATTATTTGGAGGCTTTTTGACATCTTAAAAGGAAGAGAAAATTCCAAAAAAAAAAAGATAAATGAGATTCTTAGCACTACAAAGTGACAAGTCACCTCTTTCATGCCTTGTTTTATATTACTTTACTTTACTACTATATATAAATGACGAAGGTGGATGAACTCTGCAGTAACATGTTGTACAAAAAATTGTCTGAATCGAACCTTTAAAATTTGGGCATCTAACATTCGATAAACCTGGGCCTCTTTCATTTGTTGTTGATTTCCTTTGCCCTTCTTATATGAACACGTATTGCATCTCAAACTCATGTACTCTGAAACATTCTTTTCTTTCCTACGTTCACTCTCTCACACAATCTCTTTTAGAAGCTCTAGCTCAATTTCTTTCTTTTCATAACTCTCTCGCTCAATCTCTTTCAGAAGATTTTGCTCAATCTCTCTCTTTTTATAAAGTAATTTTCCCACGTTTGCATACTTTTTCACCCTAAGATACTCCTTATTTTTCATGACTGTTATTTTCTTGTTTTGCTTCCTTCTTCCTTCGCTTAATATCCCGCTTTGTGTAACATATTCTTTTCTATGTTTCACTTGTCCTCTTTATTGGGTTACACGTGTTTACCTATTTGGGATATCTTCTTTCGCTTTACTTTTATTTTCACTTCTCCTTCTTCGTCTCTTTCTCAATGGAGGGTTCGTTTCTCTCTCACTTAAATCTTCATATCTTCTCTATTGCTTCTTTCTTAAGTATTTTATCTCATTTGGTATTGTTTCTGGTCTCGCTATTGGTTTTCTTCTTATATTTTTTCAATTTTGTTTCACTTCTGGTTATCTTTTTCGAAATTTTATATACTGTATTTATGGCTGAGAGGTAAGCTTCCTGGTTTAGGGATTTTTTGTCTCCCTCATCCAATTTCTTAGTTGATATTTGTCATCTTCTCTTTCATCCTCCATCACCGCTGGCCCATTAGAAGGGAAAAAATGAATTTATTCAGATATTCCTTTGAATTTCTTTAGCCTTTATCTCTTTTGTTAACTGATCTAGCACATGCACGTGCTCATTCACTTTTTTTGGTCAATTTCGCAGTTGTTAATGGTATTAAGAAGAGTACAATGAGAACTAAGATAATGTTATGATACAAATCAACCCAATTATGGTGGGATTTCCACGGAAGAAAAACCATACCATCGTACGAGAGAAAGAAGGAACTGGAAGTTAGAGAGAGATATAGAAAACAAAATAAAATAACTGTCCCACTTTATTATTCATCACTTCTTTGTTTGTATATTTACACTTGAGATGACTAGCTATGTAATGATATAATGTCTATCTAAGTAATATAATTTGGCTAAAGTATGAAATATAAAATGAGTTACAAATTGGGCTTAACTATTCGGGCCTTCAACCGACTGATAGGCTGTTGGTAAATATGGTTAACACCCCCTCTCAAGCTCGAGGGTGATGCAACACCAAGCTTGCCAAGAATCAAATGGTGGAGATATCCAGGAAGGGCCTTGGTCATGATATCTGCTAGTTGAGCAGAACTAGGGACAAAATGAAGAGAGATTAAACTAGCTTGAAGGCTGTCCCAAACATAATTGCAATCTATTTCAATGTGCTTAGTACGTTCATGAAACACATGGTTTCTGGCAATATGCAAGGTAGTCTGACTGTCACAAAAAATATGGACAGGGCTGGTGATAGGCAAAGCAAGATCACCCAAAATTCTAACTAACCAAGAGATCTTAACAACAACCTTCCTTAAGGCTCAATATTCTGCCTCAGCTGAAGACAAAGAAATAGTGGACTGTTTTTTCCTTTTCCAGGAAATAAGACAACCACCAAGGATAGTGTAGTACCCAGAAACAGATCTCCTAGACTGAGCACAAGCTGCCCAATCAGAATTAGAGAAAACATTGAGATCCAATTAGAAGAACAAGGCAGAAATATGCCCAGATTTGGAGCATTGGACAAATACCTCAAAACATGGAGTGCAACCATCATGAGAGGAATCTGAGGAGTCTGTACGAACTGACTTAGGTGTTGGACTGAAAAAGGAATGTCTGTTCTAGGTGTCGAAGAAAATTCAGCTTCCCAATAATTCTCCTATAACCACTTTGGTTAGAAAGAGCCTAACCCATGTCAGTAGTGAGCTTGAGAGAAGAATCAGGGGTATAGTAATAGAACTGAAGTTTTGGCAGTTGAATTCAGAGACCAAATCAGTGGTGAACTTAGTCTGGCTGATAACAAAGCCTTAGGGAGTGTGAGAAACCTCCAAACCCAAAAGGTAGTGAATGGTGCCCAAATCCCTGATCTTGAATTGGTCATCCAAGAAAGCCTTCACACTGTCCAGCTCAGAAATATCATCCCCGACTAAGAGGAAGTCATCAACATAAACAACTAATACAGTGAGTGAGCCCCCAGCAGATTTGGTGAAGAGAAAGTAGTCATTTTTGCTAGAAATGTAGCCTTTAGTAGACAAGGTTTCAGGCAGTTTGAAAAACCATTGTCCTAAGGCTTGCTTAATACCATATAGGGACTTTTTGAGCTTGCAAACCAAAGGAGGAGTGGAAGAAGAACAGGGAAGAGAAACCTGTAGACTTGGGAGATCTTTATATACACTTCTTCATGGAGATCCTAATGAAGAATGCATTGTTTACATCTAATTGATACATAGTCCACTATCTTTTGGCAGCTAGGGAAAGAAGACATTTAATGGTTGTAAATTTGACAACAGAAGAAAAAGTTTCTATATAGTCTATACATTCTTTTTGTGTCACCTCGAATGACCAACCTAGCCTTGTATCTCTTAATTGTTCCATCAAATTTTTGTTTTATCTTATATACCCATTTACAAGGAATGAGTTTCTTGTTAGTGGACACTGGAATAATGTCCTAAGTATGTTTGACTTCAAAAGCCTGAAATTCACAATGTCCTAAGTATGTTGGCTTCAAGAGTTTGCAATTCCTTAACCATAGCTCTTGCCAAGCAGTAGAGGAAGCACCCTGATGATAATACTGAGGCTCATGTGAATACAGATCAACAGTGAAAAGCTTTGGAATATCAAAAGCAGGGGCAGAAGGAATAACAGAAGAGCAAACATACTCCTTAAGGTATGTTGGAGGGTGACAAGTTCTGGTATAATGACTAGGATATGGAGTAGAAATAAGAGGTGGAGGATAAGAATGGTGGAGGTAAGGCAAATGAGATGAGACAATAGGTAAATGAGAAGGGGAAGAAGGGGCATGAGATGAAGTAGAGAGAGATAAAGAAAGGGACTGAAGAGTAGGTTGAGAGTTAGCAGGGAGGATAAAGGAGGGAGGGAGGAGTAGAAATAGGGATAAAA